TAGCACCACCCATCAATCTCAATCATATATTACGACTATTCAAAAGAAAACACAGATATATAACAGAAAAATGTATCACAGAATAATCGAAAAATTGATATACTTGTTACATATCAAGTCAAATATTACATATACAATTAATGTGGTGAGCCAGTCCATGAACAACTCCAAATAAGTGCACTTGCAAATAGTTAACAGAGTACTCTATTGTTTGATGGGTACTCTGCGGAAGAGAATTATGGCCAAAAGAAACAATGAGTTACTTCTTGAAGAAAATATTTATTTGAACTATCAAGGGTTACTAGTTGACAGGAGATCCACTTCTAGGTATTGTACCTTTCTCGGAAGGAATTTAATGACTTTGATAAGTCAGAAGCAGAATGTACTATTCCGATCTAGTGCAGAATCAGAGTTTAGTACTACGACCCAATGGGTGTATGAACTTCTATAGTTGAATATAATTTTAGAAGACTTGAAGATTCAATAGGATGGACTTGTGATACTCTCCTGTGACAATAAGTCAACAATTTATACCACTTACAGTTTGGTAAAATATGAAAGAATTAAGTACATTGAACTAGACAAATACTTTATTAAAGAAAAGCTGGATAGTGGGATGATATGTACCCATACATGTTAACCACATCACAACTTGCTGATGATTTGACTAAAAGATTAAGTAATCCTATATTTCAAACTGTTGTTGTCAATCTGAAAATGAATAATATCTATTTTTCAGCTTGAGGAGGAGTATTAAGAAGTGTACATCAGGATTCCATTAGGGTAAAGAGTATATTGGTAATTTAACATGGATTTTTGTAATTTTTGTAATTAATATTGTATCATTTTGTTATTGTTGTTCAATTGTATATATAGCGCATTAAAGTTTACTGAAATACACATCAATTCATTCTTGCACAATTATAAACAAAACACAATACTTACTACATATTTTCATGAATAAAAATATACATTAATATATTTAGATTTATCAAATGAAGAATATGGAATCCTTTGGTTTAGCTTATTCATTGTTTACCTATAAGTTAATAAAACCTTGTAAGCGAATAAAACTTATAAGCTCATGATTCATGAAGCTTATAAACTCTTAAAAGGTTAAGTGAAAATGTGTTTAGCTTTATATCTTCATTTTACTTGTAAACTTAATATAGATAACGAGTTAAAGAGTCCACGAATGGGATACATAAATAAAATTTTGATAATTTATAATAAGAGTATTTTGGTCCAAAAATAGAAAACAAAATTAACTTTTTAACATAGCTTATAAGATCAGTTTTATTTTTTGTGGTTTACAACCAAACAATGGTAAAACAAACACATTCATAAGCCAAACCAAAATCTCTCTATAAACTATTTCTACGTGCTAACTAGATTCTTGGTTTTCTTAGGTTTGGAAAAAAAAATACTATGATTCTCTCATCATTGCTGTAAACTGAAATTCCATGCATGCCATGAAAAGAAATACATATTGGAATCCACCAACTTCACCAACTGTATAGAAACTTACTTTGGATCATTAGAACAAAGTAGACGATTGCAAAGGGCCGTAAAGCCAGCTCTTGTCTTATCAATAGCTCCATTATGCTTCATTTTCAAGAGGACTTCCAAAAAATGGTCTCCAATTTTTTCAAGTTGTTTTAGGTCAAGCATGGCATTGGATACTCCAGTCATTGAGACATCAATACTGTCACATAAGGATCCCTTGGACTCTAATAAACCTGAAGTACCGTTATTTTGCAAAGGGATTTTTCTTACAATTGTTGCTAACAGAAGACTTACCTGAAAATCAAGAAGGTTTCACTGTTGACATGATGTAGTTCATAGAGTCAACTAAATTAACAGAAACTACTATGGTCAATATTGTAAAATAAAAACACAAGAGAGAAACACATGGACCGGTAATGAAGCCTATGCCTGAATAAATTAGAAATTGTTATTTTTTTAAATGTAAAACTATTATGTTATTTAGGAGTCTATTATAGTTTTGGTAACTGTAGGATTTTTTTCTTTTTAGTATTCTTCCTATTTGTTTTAATATTTCCTATTTGTATTAGAATTAGTACTCCTAATTTCCTATTCTTTGCCTCTTGGATCAAGCTAAATATTGTCTCCCAAATATATATCAAGAACCCTCCAACTTGATGCATCCACTGTTAATCAACTTCTCAAGCATTCAAACATTGATGTGAAACTTGAAGTTGAGTGTTGCATCTATGAGCTAACTACAATAATAACACTAGATTCCTTATGATGATGAACGGATGAATAAGATTTTTAGTTAATTATTTCTACATTTAACATATCAGCGGACAAGATGAGGCAAAAACATGTCAAAAATATCTTAATTATTGAAACGATTGCAAGACTTAGACTGTACCTAGAAAGTTCTGATCCTAAGTGTGAAGGATTCGTCGTAAAATGTTCAAGTCATGAAGTCCATATACCTCAACAAAAGGATGTTCCCACATACATGAGAGCACTTATGATCACTCCCTTACAAGAAAGTGATTACATCTTTTTAGAATTGCCCTCTCCACCAGTGGAAAATGTCTAAACATATGAAGAAAGAGTTTCACCGTTTGCCCATTGGTTAATAGGAAGAGTTCTTGAAAGTTGTGCCACTAAACTTAAACAATCCTTGATGCAAGAATCAAAATTGTAATGCATTCCCCAGCATGATTATAATGATGTAATGACCACAATATGCCAAGATTTATCACTTCTTGTTGACAACAGCTTTGCAGATTGAATTGACCATCTAGCTAATCAAGCAATACAGTAGATGGGGTAAACAAGGACATTGTAGAAGATGTTCTGATTTCCTTTGAACAAACTGAGTCACCTCAATATTGTAGTAAACAATGATGTCACTCAATTTGACAACTCCCAAATAGAAAAAGACGATATCCTAGTCAATTGCATTCAATGAAGAAGAAAGAGGCTCAACTTGAAGAGACTACACAAAAATAAATAAATAAAATTGGCTCCAATGGGTGATAAACAAACTTCGGTTATTCTTCCTTTTCGAATTTTTTGTTGCCTGATTGATTAACTAACCTATTGGAACCCATAGTTTTATAAGCATTTTGGTTTTCCTAAGGCACTCCCAAGTTTCACAAACATCCTTTAGAAGACATTTCCAAGTTTTAACCTCTCTTCTACTTCGACGTTTCAAAACTCGAGGTCGAGTTTTTACTAAGAGGAGGAGAATGATGCAAACAGAAAAACCCTAAAATTGATTTTTTTTTTTTGAAATAAAAAAGTCTAAAATTGATATATCTTAAAATTATAAAATGTTATTTACTTACCGTTTGTTACTATACATGAAGGGTATTTAGCTTATTTATAAGTTATCTAATATAGGTGTATTATTGGTTTAAGAATCTACCTTAGTTAGAAGTCTTACTTTGTTACTTTTTATATTTAGGAATTGTAGTGATATTAGGTTAAAACACCCTGATAAATGAATGGATGATTCATCATTATTTCATGGGCCACTAATAAATAGAAACTATTGATTTTCTCACACTAAATTGAATGCTTAACAACCTTGTGACAAAATAGTAAATGCAGTTGTTGCGATCATCGCGATTGTAGACTGGATTTATCTTTTTCTTCTTTTAATTTTTTTATCTTTCTAAATCCTATTCGCTAAGCTACATGAAGGTACGTTCTTAAATATTCTAAATTCAATGTTCCTCGTTTTGATGAGAGCACAAAGCCCCTTGGACAACTCAATCTCATTCTGAAATCAATAGACATCCAAAGATGAGAAAGTTGGGCTTCTCTAGTTGCACCTTGAAGGAGATGTCCAGCTTAAGGCTAATTGCCCAAAACTATCATGGACACGATTAAGCAACAATAGAGCATGCATTTCAGGCCCGCAATACACAAGAAAAAGAGTGGCAAGTCTTCCAAGAAACAACAGCATAGCTCAGTGAAAGAATATTAAACAGAAGTTCGACCAACAAACTGCTCATGCTAGCTCTCTTGCTTGGGAGCAGGAATTACATATTTTTGTAAGTTCAAGACTATATTACAGTAGAGGTAGAGTTTTTTTTAATAGAAAAAGAAATACCATAAAGAAAAGGAGAAAAAGGAATATATATGCAGCAAATAAGTCATCTTCCACAGAATTATGAATAAGAATGCATCATTTACTATTTCTGACAAAAAAAAATCAGTTACAGTAAAAAATGAAATTAAAGCCGATTGAGGAGGGAAAATCAACTCACAATTCCAATAAACCAGAGGGATCACTAGGTTAGAATAGTTCCCGTGAGCTTTGGTTCATAAAGAAGTCGAAGAACATTACCCTCTCCCAGAACTCTTGAAATGACAAGTAACGGTCCTCAAATATCCTTTCACTTCCTCTCTAGCTACAATTTCCATGAATCTTGCTAGGCTGTATGAATGAGACGAGAGTCTCAAAACCCTGCATCCTTGACTCTCCAAAAATAGTGTTGCAGGCAGTTCTTTGATCCCAGTGGCATTAAACTTTATCGTTTTTGGCCTAGGTTTCTGATTTCGAAGTTACTTACAAATCCCTGGCTAAAAATTGGAATAAGGCAAAACAGAAAGTTTAATTTGGCTTTCATTGGGCCAGCAAGATCCTTTAAATCAGAGAACTAGTTACCACGGTCTTCTCGATATATATTTAAGCTATTTCATCAGCAAAGTGCAGCTACATATTTTCTAGGAATAAAAAGTTTTAAAAGAACCTAACTCTAGGAGATAGTTGGTCTCTTTCCAACAAGCCCCAAACCCTAATTCTACATGGCCACAAAGGGAGGAAATAAGGGAAAAAAGCAGCCTGCTTACTTCAAGATTGTAGCCTTAGACAACCCATATCAAAAACTCAAGGGCACAGAAATTGTTATATTGATTCCTTTTGTAGATATAATAGTGACTTTCTTATCTTCATATATAACATTTGAACCCTCCTCTCAGCTAAGAATTATCAGTTTTGCTCCTAATTTTTTCCCTTGTTTTATACAGTGGGAATGAAAATTAATCATTTATGCACATGAAACCAAGAATGACAGTCAACAACACTAATCACATTCCCAAAAACAGAAAAGACTGCAAGTAGGATATAAACAAGTGTTTTACCTCCTTCATAGCCAGCCAACAACCAACCATAACAATTTGGTCTGATCGTCTTACAACCTGCAAAGGTAATGAGTTTTTATCTTCATGTTCTGAGGAATTTAAAAGTGAATCAGCCTCATCTGTAACATCCAACAAAAAATTATCCTCATCAACCATCTCGTCCATGTACTCAGGCAGATACCAAGCATCTGCAGAAACCACCCAAAGTGCCAATGAAGTTACGCGCCTCACCAGCTCCAAGAGTTTCTCCAATGCATGTCTCATCTCAGATATACTGAACAACACTGCATCAGAATTCCAATCTAATTCCTCAAAGGTATATCTTAGCGTAAGTAACACACCATGAACAAAACTGTTTTTACATGCTTCCGAGAGATCCTTCTCACCACCCTTCACAACAATATCCAACCAATCAATAAGTGATTTTATATATTCTATCACAGGAGGCCTAGATTCACACATCTGGTAATCCTCATGTACTACTACACAATTTGTTTGGAAACAAACAACATTAACTGAAGCTCTGACTATCCACCCAAGCTCTAATACATACTTCCTAAATATCAGTCGCAATGTTAGAGCCCCTGCATCACTCTCTCTGACACGAGGACTGCAAACTAACTGCTTGGCCCAAGTAATAACTTTCAAGACCATAAGCTCACTTGAAATGCCAGGAAGTGGGGTTGGGAAATGCAGCAGTATGCGAAAAGAACTCTCCCTCAATCTGTCCCAACTATCAATTATTGACCCAACTAACAACAAAGTTGAATCAGGAGATGTTATTCCACTGTTATATGGATAGAGATGGTTTTCAGAGGAAAGAGAACCATTCTTTTCTTGAGAAGGTATGATAGACCAAACATTAATCATCAGCAAGATAAGCTCCATTGCCATTATTTTTCTCTTATAAGGAGCAGAAGGATAGCATGAGAAAAACAGAAAACAACTCAACCACCTGATAAACTTAAATAAATCCTCTGCTCTGTTAACTGCAGCTTCCTCCTTACCATTATGTAACAGAAGAGGATGCCAGCTCCCCTGCTTGTATTGCCTCTCTAAAGCTGTACGAACCCGAGAGAAGAATTTTCTGAACATGCTGGTCCACTTCATCTGAAACCCTGTTGAAGAAGACCTCATGTTCAGTGGCACGGTTTCTTTCAACAAAGTAAGTTCTAAATGGGAAGGCAGAGTAGACGTTTTAGGATTTAAGAAAAGAGATTCTGCAGCATCCACACGGAGTGACTCGTCAACATGGGTCAAAGCCAAGACTAGCCACTCAACAAGAACCTTAAGCTTTATCCCCTTTATGCAGACAAGGGCATAAAGATCAAAGCTTCCTCTTCCCAGCCCACCACTCAGGTTACGTGTCTGAGAATCATCATGAAACTCAATATCACCTTCAAGCAATGCAAGAGAACGAGATACCTTCAATAAAGAGACTAAAATGGCCACTTTTTGTTCAATTTTCAGTTCCATCCTCATACAATAAAGCTCGGAGCATGACAGTTTGTTCTCCTCCCCACTTAGCTCAATTGAGATAAAAGAAAGTAAAGGAAAGATGCTATCCACATCCACTTCTAGCAAAACTGGCAGTGCATAAGTGTTCAAATTTGAACGGAGTTTTGACACCCCAGAAGCAAGTCCATACAAAAAGGGGGGCAGACAACACTCCCTGTATAGAGAATACCCCTTCTCAATACCATCACTGCTCCAACACTCATCACGCAAGCACTCAAGGAAACACTTCAAGAATGATGTAGCTGCACAGCATACATCATCATCAACGTACGCCTTTACCGTTTCAAAAAGCAAGGCAGGATTTTTCATATCCAACATAGTTCTCGCCCCCAACCTCTTTGTCAGGGAAGCTAAAGGAACATATCTCCCCTTACAACGTGGACCCAAGCGGAGGAGATCTGAAGCAATTTTCTGAAGGAACAATTTTAGTTCATTTCCAACTTCTGCCTGAGGAAGACTGTACCGAATATCTAATAAAATATCAAAAATAAGATGAACTTGTTTGACCGTTTGACTTAAAGGATCTTCCAAGTTATTCCATATGATTCTCAATATCCGGTTCCTTATTTCCCCTGGAAACGGATCATAGTCTCCTAATGGATTTGTAAGATTAGCCAAAATTGAGGTTTTTATCTGTTGCAGACAAATTTGCATCACGGTTAATGCATGGAAGTTAAAATGACTATCCGTGGGATTCTCACAGAAGTGGCATATTTCAGGCAGAATCCCATCGTACAATATAGTCTTAATAGAATTAACACCATTTCCACCAGAATCACAAGCAATACGACTATCATCTTCTATGGAAAAAGGGGTATTGAGTACTGTCCTTGAAACAGCAGTAAGAATGCCTCTAATCAAACAAAGTCTGCTCAACACCGAAAATTTTAGTATTTCAGTACAAACATTACCCCATTTATAAGGAACTTTGCTTATAGCATCTCCAAAATTACATTCACTATTAGTGCGAGAGCTGCAAGTAGTTTGATAAAATATACCTTCAAGGATTACCAAGCCAAGCTCTTGAACACTGAGACAAACTTGTAGAGTAGCGCAAAAGGCCACGCCAGCTGCAATCCAACAATCCCGCGAAAAAGCAGACGATTTTAATATACTAACCAAAATCCCCACAACCATCTCCATAAGACTTGCTTCTTCGCCACCCAATTCCTTGAATTTCTGGGGAAACCTCTGAAGCAAGTAATACAAGCAAGACAAAGCTTCTTGGCATTGCTCCATGACAATAGGAGAAGGTCTCGCCAACTCGTCGGTTTCCGAAACTACAGCAGTCAATCCAAAAACAATATCCCAAGCTACCAAAATCGCACAATCTTTAATTATATCAACCAGGTATCCTAGTTTAGGCATACCCATCACGGATAACGCAACGCGTGAGACGCAGAACCTCTTCCCTTTCTCGCGAAAACGGCCATACTGATCGCAGAGTACCCGAAAACACTCACCAATCACTGAGTGAAACTTGCGGGTTTTTGCTAAAGCTGACACGAGAGTTCTATGCAGAGGCAACGAATTCTCCAAAAAAAGAAGCTCTAAGTAAAACCACGATGCTTTTGAGGCTAAGCATGTCTCTAGTCCTACTTCTTCGCTGGTGGTTGACAGTAATTCGCCGAAAGAAGCAGCGAGATTCTTCACGTGATTAACTAGAGCGTAAATGGAGTTAAGAGAGATTAACTCTTGCAAGTCAGCGTAAAACTTTGGAGACGATTCAGACAATGATGATTCGTGTAAGGAATCGATGAAGGCGGGAGGGAAAATAACGGCGCTGTAAGTGTAGCGGTGACGGTGCTGTAAAGCCCGCCATTTCCCAGACATGCTCGGTAAATTGAAAAAGGTTTGACCGTCTTGAAAAGGCTTTTCTAATTAGAGAGGGAAAGTCGAAGATGATGGCTTCAGCTCTTACAGGCGAACCGTGATTCGTGAAGCGACTCCGTTAGGTTAAACAAGAAAATGGAGAAGAAGAAGAGATCTTGGGCTACGTAAAAATACAGAAAGAAGCCCAAGTATTATTTAATTAGATATATATTTCTTAACTATTTGAAAAATTAAAGTAATTTACCTCTTCACTTTCTAATTAATTTTTATAAACATATTACAATCACATAATTTATTTGAGAAAAAAAACTAAGAATTATTAGAAGCTTAGCGTAGTATCCAATTGAACTCTATTCGAAAACAACATTGAAATGAAATTCATGTACTAAAATATATAATATATTTTTAAATACATGTTATTACTTTATGGTAAAATATATTTTTTAAAAATTTTATCATTTTACGTTAATTCTATCATAATTTCTTTTAGTTTAACTTATGCTTGGTAGGAGTTATAAACTCATAAAAATTGATAATTATTAAAAATAAGAGAAAAATGAATTTAGTTAATCTATTTTTATTTAATTTTAAAGTTTTATATACAGTTATCCAATGATCTTTATAAATTAAAATTTTGATAAAATAATTAAAAATAATATATTAATATTTTAAAACATAAAAAATATTTGTAATTCTAAATTAATAATTTATGAATTGTTCGTTCATCAATAAAAATATTTTGTTATCTATCTTATTTAGTTGGTACTTTTTTTTAAACAGAAGTTAGTTTAACTAATTTTAAATTTTGTTTAAAATTTTACTATGTAAAGTTAATGTGATCATGTAAAAATTTTTTAATGATAAATTAACTTTTATTTAAAATAAGTACCGATTAATTCGTCAACACGAATGGTTCTAATTGAAATCTATTAAAATTTAAAATATATCATTGACATATTGTACAAATTTTATTTAAAAATAATAAGTTTTAATCATAATTTTTTTGGACTGTTTTAATTATTGATTTAAGTTTTTTAGAAGAAAATTGTTTATTCAAATGTTGATATAAATTTTGCATTTAATTAGGTATAAATTTTTAAATTTTGTTCAAATCAAAAATTTGCCCGATGGTGTATGTATGAGTATGTATGAAACTCATAAATATCACTATCTTTTTAAATATATATATATATATATATAATATATTTGAGATAAAAATTTTAAAATACAATGCCACCACAACTACATATCAGATAATGGTTTAATTGAGATTCAACTTTCATTTGAAGTCATAAGCTACAACTCATTCGGCCTTAATAATTGGATCTACACACCATTCCACCATTTTTCTCTTGTTCCTCGGAGGCTCAATGGCTACATATGCTATAGAAAATCAAAATTGGAAAAGTACTGGAAATATCATAATTGAATTTAATAAAATATAACCAAGAGTAAGAAAAGATAGTGATTGATAAAAAAATATATATAGAACTTTGTAGTTATTTAATTATGAAATTCGTATAAAATCTTGTACACTGCAAAAAAATTGATTATTTAAGGTGGAGGCACCAATTAAAAGTTAGTGGCATTCGAATAACAAAAAGTGAGTTATTTATACACAAAGTGCAATACGTAGAAGAGTAATCCATTTAAGAGCTCCCTCTGTATAAAAGAATTAAATCATATGTCATTATTAAAGGCTCAAAATAATTAAGGATAGAATGCCAATGTTTTAACTCATTCTCTTAAATAAGTAAAAGAGATTACTTGTAAGGGCCCGAAAACTTAGGATAAAATAAATTTGAATTAAAGATACAAAAACGTATAATAATGTTAGGATTTACATTCCTTACACATAAATTTGAATACCCAATAGAGTTACGAAAATGTTCTTTTCATAGCAGTTCATAAAAAAATGAAATAAGCATATGAAAATAGTAAATAAATATTATAAGGAGATTAACCTCTATTAGTTCTTGATAGGATCCGGGGGATATCTACTCAAAATTCTTCTGCTGATTACGATCTAGATATTGATCTTCTTGATCTGAAATGGTTAATAGGGGTAAACTATACTAGTCCAATAAGAATATCACACTGTTCACCGATACAGAAACTACAGGTTGGTAAAAAAAAATATAAAATGACTAATAAACCTCTTAATTTAAGTAAGTTCATTTATCATAAGGAAAACTATTTATTGCATATTTACTATTATGAGATTTCTAAAATCGACCCATAAAGACAATAACTCAAATAACATTATGATTTCTTATACGAATGAGTAAGAACAACTTTCCTTTTCATCTACTTACCGGTACCTTTAGGGGTCAATAGGGATATCTCCTTATGCGTGAACCCAATATTTAAACTTATCAATTAACTGGCCGTCCCCATACTCCGTCTAGTATGAGTGCCAAAAATGTCATCCCTCGATACCTCATCCTGTATGAGGGTGAACCAGGCCGTCTCCATACCCTGTCCGATATAAACGCCAAAAATATTATCCCTCGATACCCCATCCGGTATGAGGTACCGTTCACGGTAGAGTTCTCTATGTACCCGGTCCGTCTACCATCTCCCAGGATATTTAGTATGTAACGATATCGGAAATCCAAAATGAAATATATAATAATTTAAGTGCGGAAGTGAAATCAAAGGTTAAAATTTACATCCCTTATACAAGAACTTAAAAGTATTAAACAAACATTACGGAATGAGTTCTCTAAAAGAAACATGAGAAATAAGAAAAATAATGGAAAATAGAAAGTATCTAGCATCTACTCGGAATCTTCTTGCATATCAGGCTTTGAAACTAGGTTCTCTTGATCTGAAATGATTAAATAAAGGTTGAGTTACAAGGATATCATACTATATCACTGGCACAGAAGCAAAGATTGGTATAAAATCAAAACAACTAATAGAGTACTAAATTTAGCAAATTCGTTTATCAATCATAAAATCATTTACAATACAATTACCATTGTGGAATTTATGAAAACAACCTATAGAGATAATAATATCATACAGATCATAACTTCATGCACAATTAGGAACGTAGAACATATCGTAAATTCATATTCATTAACAATAATCAAATCATAACCGTTTCTCGTTTCACCAGCTACTAGTATCCATGGGGGTCCATAAGGGTATCTCCGCTACACGTGAACCATTTTCCTTAACAATCTCAATTACAAGACCGTCCCCATACCCCGTCCGGTATGAGCGCCAAGACATTAAACCTCAATACCCCGTCCAGTATGAGGGTGAAGCGGGTCGTCCCTATATCCCGTCCGGTATGAGCGCCAAATTACCAAGTCTCCATACCTCGTCCGATATGAGACAACGTTCACGGTAGGGTTCCCTATGAATCCGGTCCGTCCACCATCTCTCAGGATATCCAGTAAGGCTGTCATTCTATCTGTTTATTTGATTACACCCCTTTTCTATTTTTCCTTAGTCTCCATTATCAAAACAAATATAATCACATAAACAAATAAATATGCATTTGGTAATGCAATCATATCTAAAATTTCAAAATCAAACACTGGTCAGGTAAGGCAGTAATACATGTATTTAAACTAAAAAATAGATAAACCAGATATCATCATGCTTTTAGACTGTAAAATAAATCACAGATAACAAGGTCCGGTTCGAACTGCATTAGCAATCCGTAATTAATTATGCACCTCTATTTAATTTGTATAAAATACCAAATTATTATTTATTCAAACTTCAATTCTATGATAGGAAATAGGATGAGTGGTCTTTACTTGATTTGACGTCGAAAAACTAAATAGTTTACTGCGCCTACGGGCAGTCACTAGGTTCCCTGAATTTTTTTCTGGGAACTAAAATGCGCTTATGGTACCTACAAATGTCCCAAATAAACTCAAAAATTAGTCTCAGGGCCTACTCGACCAATTTTGAAAATTAGGCATGGCGGCTTCACCTTGCTCCAACGACGGCGTCGCCACCCGCGGTTGCGGTCCGCCTCGAGTCAGCCGTTTTCGGCAGTTTTTGGCCAAATTCGATCGATTTTACATCGATTCCTACGAGCACACACCCTTAAGGGCCTCGGTGGGCCGAAAAAATACGAAAAACCAAAACTCACTGGCGGTGGGGCTCTCCAGTGCGACGGCTCCTCCGGCTCACGTTGCGGTTGGGTGTTTCGTTTCAGTCAATATGTAGAGAAGAAAACAGTGATCACAATGGTGGAAAAATTACACGAAACGGGAATCGAGAAGGGCGTCATCGAACGCGGTTTGTAAAATTTCCTGCGGCGGTGCCACCAGGCTTCGACGGTATTTTTTCAACCAATTGGCCTGTTCTTTCACTCCAATTTGGTCATGGCTAGGCTTAAAATTGAATTTCTTGCAAAAGAGGAAACTATTACCTTTTTTGGCTGTCGAAAAGGGTTTCAGTGCTGCGGGGGGTTACGACGGCTGGGTTATCTTCTCCGGTGAGGGGTTATGGCGGTTAGGATTAGGATTTAGGTGCGGATTGGGTTATTTATACCCATCCACTTTTGATATGGGTCGTCCATCGCTTTTGATCTGGACCATCTGATCGTGATTAAATAGGGGGTGAATATGGACCGTTCATCGCGATCCAATCTAGGCCATTCGTGCGCCATTCACTATGGGTCGTCTGTGCGCACGGGATCATACCTCAACCATTCAATTGCGCGCACGTGGATCGCCCACGTGGCTCTTTTCGCGTCAGTGCCTCTGCCACATGGCGTGTCCTAGGTGGTTGGGGCTGCTGACCGAGCGTCTGACGTGGCGCAATTTTTCTAAATTATATTTTTACATCTGGTTTTTTATTTTTCTTTCAAAAATACCCCCAGAACTTAAATTTTCACCCTTTTTTTTCAAAATTATTTTCAATTTAATCCTTTATCAATTTACTCAATTTTTTCATTAAAATAAAATAAAATAAAATAAAATAAGTAATCAAAAAATTATATTTATTAATAATAAAAAAATAAAAATAAATAAAAATAAAAGCTTTAGGTGGGTGTTACATAGTAAGACAACTATTTATTAATTCACATCATCAAGCAATTTTCCATTTGTATATTAATTTTATGTCTCACAATCAACCGTAAATCACGCAAAACAACCGATATATATATTAAGAAAACACA